GCTGGAGGTGCGGCTCGGCTTCCCCTGGCCCGCAGCGCAGCGCTGTGTGGCCCGGGCTGGGAGCGGGGGGGACCGCGGGGAAACGCCGATGGGCTTTTGCGGGGTCACTCGGAAAGCGAGCTGGGTCTGAGCAGGGGGTCCCGTCCCGTCCTCCCTCCCGTTCCCCTCTTATATGCAGCCTTCACATTTAAGGTCTAGGACAGTGGCTCCCAAAGTCTGACAGATAGCACACACAACCTTCACCAGTACCACCAGCAACTTTTTGTCCTATCGAGTCATTATAATACGTCTGTTAACATGTACTGCTGACAGGTGGTCTAGTACCTGAACTGCAAATTGGGAACCACTGGTGTAGGCAGTTCTGATTCGGACATCCCCACCTTCAATAGCTACCCACCCTCCTCCTCCAAGAGTTTGTCCCAGCCCTTTTTGCATCTAGGTAAATGGGCAACTGTCAGTGGCAGTGAGCGCCACACTTCAATGACTCGCTGCAGGGAAAAAGAACTTCCCTTTTTTAGTTTTAAACTGACTACTTGGTAGTTTTGTTTTATGACCCCTAGTTCTTGTATTGTGAGAGTGAACGATAAATCCCTGTCTACTTTCTTTTTGCTGTTCAATATTTTGTAAACCCTTATCGTGTCCGCCCCCCTCCCCCCCCCCCCCAGCCTCTCTTTTCTAAATTGAATAGGTCTGAATAGTTTTCAGTTTTTCCAAACTGAATCTCAGCAGTCAAATAATTTGATGCTTTACCTTTAGAGGATGGTTACAGATGATACAATGTTTGGACGGGTGCTTTGCATTTAGAAAGGAAGTGGCATCATTAGAACCTTCTTGGTGTCTTTTAAAATGTCAGGTTGTTGACTTAAATTGTAAATAGCTGATCTAAGTAATGGGGAAAGAACAAGTGAGAATTTGCAATGTTAAAAAATTTTGATTAAAGCAGCAGTTGGGAACCTATATCCTGGGAGCTGGATCCAGCCCACAGAGCCGTTGGATCCAGCCCATGGAGCTGGATGGGGCTTTGGAAACAAGGGGCTTCTGAGCCACCGATGGGCAGCAGGGAGAAGTGCTGGCAGTGGCCAGGTATTAATTCCAGCTTGCCTTGGACCCAAGATGGATCACTCCAGCCTGCTGCCCAAAACCTTTGCCAACCACTGGATTAAAGCATGAATTTGTCTCTTTGCTTTATTCTATGATGTGTAGTTATTACAATAATAATAATTCCAACTGCTGCTTTAATTTGAGAACCTCTAAGCATTTTGCAAATAGGAAACATTTAAGAAATTAAGTAATTAAGAAATTAAGTAATTAAGAAAGATATGGGGATTCATCTTCAATCCATTTTAGAGTTGAACAGTGATTTAATAATACTTAGCCAGGTTGCACGAAAATTTAGAACAGGAAGGGAAAAATATCACATCCAACCGAAACCACAGAGGGAATTTTCAGAACAAAATGGGGAAGAAAGTAGTTACTTGAGAATTTGGCCAGGTAAATAAATTCATTATTCTTATCTCCGTACTTAATGTAACCTTTAGTTTCAGCTTCAGTTTTGAGTATCTTAGCTTTTATGAGTCCACATTAGATTTTTAGGGAGCCTCCAAACAAGTGTTCACATGTGTTTCGCCAGGGCCAAATAGTGGTGCATAGGTGTGCTACTAGTATGTGTCCCTGGGGAACACCTGTGCATGCGTGCTGTGGCACATGGCAAGTTGCCCCATGTCGGGAAGGGGAGGCTGGGACCAGCACACCTACGCTGTCCTCAGCAGTGTTACCTAGGTCCTGGGGGCCTCCCGGGGCTCCAGCAGTGGTGATCCGAGCACACGGAGCCTGACTAGAAACTGAAGAATGGTTCCGGTAAGCTAGGCTCTGGTTTTGGGTGGCACATGCTGCCACCATGTGTGCCACCCCACTCTTTTTTTTGGCATGGGTTTTTAAATTAGCAGTGCAGCGAATATCTGCATGTGCAGTGCATTTGGTTTGTGGCACCACTGACGGGTCTGTGGTGCTGCAAATCCCGTGTGCGCTCATCTGGATGCACTCTTAGGGTGCCTTAGTTTTATTTCAAGTGGTGAGTCCTCAGCCAGTGTGGAACTCATATCTTTAAAATGCTGTAATTTCACTTTCCCCACTTACTATTTTCATAATATTTTAGAAGTATAATGCACTAATGTATTCGGTGCTCTTTGCTATGTCTGATATGAGTCAAGCCCAATAACTGCAACATTTGAGGCTGAGTTTACTGCTGCAGGGGTATACTGTAGTCCTGGATTTTGAAGCAGTCTGCCTACATTACTTTCCAGTTGTCTGGACAAGTAAATGGATCAGTAGCTCTTCTGGTTTTGTGGCACTGAAATGAATGACCTGCATTTTTGGATAACTTTGAGTAAGGGCTACATCTGAGGTGATGAATATATTTCCTCCTGGTTCAGCTGGTCACAAAATAACTTGCTGTGTTGTTGTCCATCAAGTGTACAAAATAGAAGTCTCCTTGTCTCCTCCTTTCAGATTAATAATGTGGGCACCAATACAAGCTGGACTGTGCAAGAAGTCCTCTTCTTCCGCTCTGTAAGAAGTGGAAAACTTTTAGATTTTAAAAAAGTCAAAGGTGATAATGCCTTTGACAGAAATAAAGAACTATTTATTTAGATCTACAGTAAACACGGTTTCCTTCTGCAACCACTGGGTGTCAGTTATTGGCACTCATATCAGCGTTTCCCAAACTCTGACAAATTGCGCACCACGAATTTAAAATGATACAACCTTAAGTACCGCCAGCAAATTTTTGTCATGTAAAGTAATTATAATAAATCTGTTAACGCGTTCCACTGACAGGTTGTTTGCATACCACTGGTGGTACCTGTACCAGAGATTGGGAATCACTGCATTATATGATAGAATAAAAGACGCATTTAAATTCAAGTCATCAACTTTACTTCTTCAGTTAGAGATTTGAACCAGTGTAATACAAATTCATTGTATGCTAGGAATGAAAAAGGAGCTGATTTAAAACCAACTAGATTTGAAAACTGCCATCAAGTGTGGCCATGTATAAATGACTCACTTCAGTATTTATACGATTATGTTTGTTTGTTTTTTTCCTTCCAATTCAGGATTTTTGTTCTGTGATGATTAATTTGGAACACACACTTTTTCTGGAAAATTATTTAATAATTCTTCTGCAAAAGATTTAGCAAGTTTTCAAGATCAACAAACCAAGTAGAAATAACCTGATAACATTTGAATTATGTAAGGGAAAATTAAAAGCCATTATTAAACTAATGTTTATCATAGTCTAAATTTTATAAACAGCAGTGAGGTTTTTATGAAGAGAGATTTAAAAATGCAGTTTGTTTAAGCAAAGCAAAACATTCATTAGTGACTAGCAGTACCATGTTTTTATTATATAAGTCTGAAAGTGATACCCTGGTTACTGTTACTAAGAAATTGTGTTTTGTCCTGTTAGTAACAGGATATAGTTGTAGCTTTATATGTAAAAATTAGTTTGGCTTTGGAACTACTCAGCGTCCAAGGGGCTAAATCATTGAAATACAACATCTCTAGCACAAATGACACCTGTTATAACAGTGTCAGCAGTTGGCGGAGACCACATGACTTTCCTGCTGTCTGCCTCCCCACTGCCTGCCCCCTTGCTGCTGCTTTTCCCTCTGCAGCAGTGGGGGGGGGATGAATTTAGGATGACCCTCCAATATTTAGATTCTGTGCATGGAAAATTATAACATTTATTTTAATTTTTTAATTTAATTATTTCAAAAGATTCTTTTAATTATTGAGGGTCATCTTAAATTCAGAGTCATCCTGGATTTGGGTAAGTACGGTAATCCTGCCTTTGGTTGGACAAAGTTAGTGTGGTGTTCAGATGTTGACGTAGACAAATGAATTATAACCCATTGCATATCATGTATTTCTGAATATTTTGAATAAATACATTTACTTTCAAGATGTAAGTCTGTATATCTAAGACTCAGCATGCATTCACAATAAGCCAAGAACATTTGCCAGTGTTTTTTCTCCAGCACAAAATGAATAAGGAAAAACTCTGTATTTACAGTATTGAGTCTCTTATTCACAGAGATATTTAAAAATCAAAGACTGCATATTATTGAGCAGTTGTCAAAGAAATATACTTCCTTTCACTGCCAGCTTCCTATTGGTTCTCTGTTCCTTGTACTTTCATAAGTTCCATTTCCTTTAGTATGAGTTTTGAAAGTTCATAGATTTAAGTAGGGTTTGGCAATATACAGTCTGCAGGCTAGACATGACTCTCAGAGTCAGGAGGCTTCAGCAGTGTCCTGATGGCGGGGTGGGCTTTGCCTGTGGCCACACTGGAAAGGCACAGTGGGGAGAATTACAACTAAAGGGAGGGAGAAGCAGTGGCAGGAAATACAGCTGTAGTGGCTAGTTCATAACACCAGCCTGCCTTGGACCTGAGCTTAGTTGTTTTGGCCTGTGGCTCTGAAATGCTGCTAACTGCTGAACTTCAGGGTTGAGGATCAAATGTTTAAAAATGTTTAGGCAACCAAATTATCAAACTTCTTGCACACCTAAACACCTTAAAAAGTGTGCTTTAGCTCCAAAGTTTATAGGTGAACTAGACAAAACACTGAAAAATATGTTCAGGAGTGCACCTTATTTGATTCTTCTCTGTTAACTTTTTATAGCTTCTGTCTTGTCTTATATTAGCTCGTTATATTTTATTAGGTTCTCAGGACAGGTCATATATGAAACAAAACATCTCCTTCCTAAAGGCAAGAAGAACAGGAGACAAAATTTTAAAGTTATAAGTAGGAAATCTGTTCCTCAGCGAAAAAACACATAATAAGTAGTTAGACATGTCTGTTGGAAAATAACTACATTTTTACTTTTCAGGTGGGTTGGTCACTTCTTTGTAAATTAATAGAAGTTTGTCCAGCCACTCTGCCAAACATAGTGCCTCACGGTGTCGGGAAGGATTGGGAAGTACTTGGTGTTCATCAGTAAGTAGAGAAGTTCTACAAACGGATGCTGTATGTATGTTGGTTTCTAGAGTTCCTCTAGATTGAAGTAGGAAGGAAATGTGTTTTCTAGCATATCTTTAAAGAAAAAGGTTATTTCTTATATTCCTTTTATTCTAAAATTAGATTATCATTCGAATTTTATCATCGAAATAATGCAGAGTAAAATAAAATTTCACTGGGGTTCCAATGTAATGTGCTGCTAAAAATGGAATGATTGTTTGGAAAGCCAACGAAAGCATAGAAACTGTGGCAGCATAGAGGAAGGAATACTTATATAGAATGATTTGTCAGAAAGTGAACCAATAAATAGTGATTTTGTTTGCAACACCCACGATAGGAAAATCCTCTTGAATTAACTTGATCTAGTACTCTGTTAGTACCTTAGATATTGATCAGGGTGTTATGTTTGTGTCAAGCTATGTTAGTTAAAAGTTGTAGTGTCAGCTGGATTTTCTTCAGAGTTTCTGTATATTCATTTCATGGGGCATGATTATCACCAGGGATCCAGATCTTCCATTTCCCACAGGAAAACGGGGAAAAAATGTGGATTTTTCCCTTTTGACCGAGGGAAAAACAGATTTTTCATTTGAACATAGAAACATGTAGATTTTCCACTTTTGCAAAGAGCTGTCTGCAGCCTGGCAGAGTTATAGCCTGCAAGGGGCTGGGGGAGTGGGGAAGGGCAGTTAGGCAGGGGACACCATGTGTGCACTCACACATGCACCTGACTGCCAGACAGCCTGGAGAGCAGCTCCCGCAGCTAAGTCTGATGGGGGGGTGGGTTGAGACCCCCAGAGGGAGGGAGGGAGGGAGCTGGGCAGGGCTGAGGCAGCTGCTGCTGCTGCCCAACCCAGGCAGTGCTTGGGGCCTGGGGCCAGAATGTGGGAGCAGGATAGGGCCATGGGCAGCTTGTCTGGGGGGCTGGCGAGGGGGCTGACTCCTGGTTGCCGTGCGCACTCCCAGGGGAAGCATGGGGTACACGTGTCCCCCAGATATGTATGCGGGAAGGGGCAGGTCTGCTTGCTGCAGGCTTGGGTCTGCTGTCCTGCCCTGCTGCCTCCTCCCTCCAGGGCCACCATGGCCCAGCAGGTGGGACCCGGTGCGGCAGGCCAGTGCAGGGAAGCTTCTTGCTGCTATGAGCCCCACTGCCATAGTGAGATGCCCCCTGCCTGTCCAGCAGCAGCAGGGGCGGCAGCCTGGAGTAGTGGCCCTCGCTGCTGCCAGGTGGTTAGGGGGTGCCGCGCTGGGGTAGGGTGGAGCTTCCAGAAGTGGCCATGAGCTTCCCTGCCTGGCCTTGCTCTGCCCGGCTGCACTGGGCCCTGCTCACTGGGCTGCAAAGGCCCCGGGCAGAGGGCAGAAGGGCAGGGAGATTGAAGTGCGCAGCCTGCCCCCACCCCACCATGGGCTCTGTTCCAGCCATGCCAACCATGGGGGAGGGGGAGTCAGGCTCTGCTCCGCCACAGTAGCCACCTGCTACAAGTGGGAGACAGGATTCAGGCACCGCTATGGGGGGCAGAGGGCAGTGGGCCTGAGTCCCCAGTCCTATAGCGCTGGCAGCTGAAGACCCCCTCTGGCAGGAATTGGCAGTGGGGGGAACCTGTGGGTGTGGAGTAAGGGGCAGGGTTGGGGGGACTGGGTGGGGAGTGAGGGGCACTGGCAGAGCCAGGTGGCTGTGGCTTGGGAGTTAGGGCCTTGGGAAGCTCACCTGCGTCCTGGTGAGCGAAAGAGGTGGGGGGACGACCCTGATTTTCCATGATAAAAAAACCCAAAATCAAATACCAGAATTTATAGGAACTTTTAAAATTTTTTATAGTGGTTGAGGCACTGATAAGCTTCCAAATTGCTTTAAAATTGTAAATATATCAATAAAACATTATGTTCACTTGATAGCTATATATATGTGTGTGTGTCTGTGTGTGTGTGTGTGTCTATGTGTGTCTATGTATATGTGTGTGTGTCTGTCTATATGTATGTGTGTGTATATGTCTGTGTGTGTGTGTGTATGTGTCTATATATATGTGTGTGTGTATATATGTGTATGTGTGTCATAGTATATATATGTGTGTGTGTATGTGTATATATATATGTGTGTGTGTGTGTGTGTATGTGTGTGTGTATATGTATATATATATATGTGGGGGGGTGTCTATGTATATGTGTGTGTGTGTCTATTATGTGTGTGTATATGTGTATATGTATGTGTGTGTGTGTGTATATATGTATGTGGGGGTGTGTGTCTATATGTGTGTGTCTATGTGTGTGTATATGTATATGTGTGTGTGTGTATATATGTGTGTGTGTGTGTATGTGTATATATATATGTGTGTGTGTGTATATATGTGTGTGTGTGTCTCTGTATATGTGTGCGTGTGTGTGTGCGTGTGTGTGTCTATATATATATGTGTGTGTCTATATGTGTGTGTATGTGTGTGTGTCTATATGTGTGTGTGTGTGTCTATATGTGTGTGTGTGTGTGTGTGTGTATGTATATATATGTGTGTGTGTGTATATGTGTATATATAGTGGCGTTATTTTTAATTGCAGACTTGGGGAGGTTTACTCAGAATTTGTGATTTTATTTTTTTAAATGGATCCCTTATTGTCACATGCCTGAATGTTATAAAAGCATGGACAGGCACTGTGCCTTTGTTAGGCAAGATGTGCCAAAGCTGGATGAAGGCATATCCAAACCATTACGACATTCGGGGTGCATGGGTAGGCAAATGACTTCAAAGGAAGGTAGTGTCATAGTGATGGCCAGACCTTCAAATTAATTAAATGTTTTGGGTTTTTTTACCATTATTAACTTTTTCCTTAGGTTCATGTTCCAGAAACTGAATTTCATTCAGGGACTGATCTAATTTAGGGACAGGAACAGCTGAGTAATGCCATTCTTAGCACTTAAAGTGTAAGAGAACTGTAGTTGCGCAACATCTACACACTGCAGACTTAGCTGCGGGAGCTGCTTTCCAGGCTGTCTGGCAGCCATGTGCATGTGTGAGCGCGCACATGGCGCTCCCTGCCTCACTGCCAGTCTCCTGCTCCCCCCCCCCCCCCGCCCCCTCAAGGGTGACACCTCCGCTCCCCCGCCAGTCCCTTGCAGGCTAGAACTCTGCCAGCCTGCAGAGAGCTCTTTGCAAAAGTGGAAAATCCACATGTTTCTCTGTTCAGCAGATCAGATATTTGATGTATTTGCCAAAGATATAACATCCATATGTATTAAAATGGGGAGAGGAGAAAGCTATATGGAGTTCTGCAAATGAGGACTTGGAAGGTGGAGGTCCAGCATCTTGTTGCCACCTTCTGGGAGAAGTTAAATCTCAGCTATCTCAGCATACTTCCATTCACTCTTGCTAGCATGACAGGATTTCAGGCATTAGATGCAGCTGCATCATACTGTAGTATGGGGCTTGGGGGCATGTCCATATCTGGCTAAGAAAAGTAAGTTCTCTAATATGTTTACATACACAGTTCTGGTTGAATTTGGATCTGTTGTTGGTCAGCTATCGTGTGATTACTCTTTGTAGTATTCTCCATTATGCTCAGAAGGATACAAGATAATTTGTGCATGGATTAGCTCAGATTTCTTCAGTGCTCTGAAGGCGCCTTGTTGAGTGAAGGGCCATATTCTAGGAAGAGAGGCACGGTAGCGATAGTAGGTACTGCCATCCTTTATTGCATTCTAGAAAGACTGTCAACATTTATGGTGAAATGTTTACACAAGCTTCCCCAGAGGCCACACTTGTTGCCAATAGAAACAAAGCTCTAGTCTAAACTCCGTTTCAGCATCTGAGTTTGAGAAATGTGGTCCACTACTGATATCATTCAACATCATTTTTTCCCTGTACAGATAGTTCGGCAAAGTGTGCAATCCTGTCTGAAAGCATGATAGTTCTGCTTGTTGAAGAAACTAGTAGATGTTCTTTGTATGGCAGGTATTCTACTGGTGGCAAAACTAGAGCAATTAGATTATCTAGAATGCCTTCTGAGCATCAGTTGTAATGAGTTAATACTGCATGATGTCTGCAGATGGACAGAATACAGTTATAGTAGAGATGAAATATACACTATAGTGAAATATATCATCTATATACAAAATGGAATACTTACATAGAATGATTTGTCAGAAAGTGACCCAATAAATAGTGATTTTGTGGTGAGAATACATAAGTTGTATTGTTGGAGAAGTGTGTGTATTGTTGGAGAACCAAAATTTTAAGTTTAGATGTTGCATTTGGTTTATTGTTTCACAGCATGCCCTGGCTCAGTCAAGTTACAGTAACTGCTAACTGCTGCAGACATCAGTGCAGCTAACATTACTGTTCCTTTCCTGATACAACTTTGAGTACTTAAAATAACCACTTACAAAGAGAAGGAAATTGTCTTAGCATGTCCAACCTCTTTCTAAATACACAGAGAAATTTCTTCAGACCTTTTGTAATCTGTGACATCAGGCCTTCAGAAAGTAGATGAGAGTAAGTGTTTCACTTCCTTATTCTTAATTACTCTCAAGATTAGAGGGCATGTGAAAGGAATTTTCTCTTTGTACTTTTTAAGCATGGCTCAGCCTTTTGATCATAATAAGCATGTTCCATTCTATATGTATTTGTGTTACTCTACTGAACTTGTCATGTCTTCAGGCTGTAGGCACTTCAGGTCTGGAACTTGTTTGACACAGCTGACCTATTGTAAAGTGTCCTGCATACAGGACACATCTATACTTGTAACTAATGTGCCTGAATTTTCTGTGCAGAAAATTCAGGCATATTAAACTGCGGCCCCGCAAGCATCTGAACCCGTGCCCATCAGAAGCAAATTTGACAGGAGCAGTTTGGTCCAGAGCTGCTCCTGCCCTGCTCTGCCCACCCTGTAGCAGCCAGGGGGAGCTCCAGTCTCCCCAGGCTGGCAGGAGGCATGAGGGTTGGTCCTGATCTTGATGGGGTAGGGGAGAGCTGTCTTGGCTGCCAGGTAGCTGCCTCCCAGCCACTTGGAGATCGGGACCCATCCCAGTCTCCACATAGCTGAGAGAGCTGTCACTACTGTTGGGCAGCTTCTTCTTCTTCTTGGAAATAATCTCAATTTCCATCCTGCTGAGCTGTGACAGCTCTCCCTGCCCCCTGTGGCGCCTTGCTGCTTAGGCTGACCAGGAACAATTTTCTTCCAGTCAGCATCTACACAGTTTAATGTGCCAGTTTCTAGTACCTGTATCTACAGCTACTAGAAAATGGCACATTAGATTCATCTACTGTGCAGTAATTGGAAGCAGTAGAGCAGCTTGCAGGTGGCTTAACTCCCAGTCGGACATCATTGCCTGATTGGGAAGATCTAATGTCGTTGTCCAGCCAGCCCTAATCTCCATTCCTCATAGTTCTTCAGACCCACTCTTCACCCCTAGGTTTTCTGTCTGACTGAGTTTGAATTAGACAGTAGGGCTGTGTGAAATTTCACTGCCAGTTTTGATTCGACGCTGTTTCGACTTGTTTCGAGGTTGAAACAGCAAAATAGAAATGAAACAGATATGGTCAAAGCATCCTCGAAACAAAACAAGGCAAGTCAAAACGTTTCACTGCTGTTTCGACATTTCACTCATAGGCTATAGTGGGGAAGGTTGAAACAGCCTTTAACTTTGTCATTTCTGGCCTGATTTGGATGACACTTGCAGGAATGGAGGTCCCTTCTGAGGGCAAGAAGCCTGCCAAGTTTCAAGGAGATAGGTGCAGGGGTTTGGGGGAAACTACCTGAAGCTGCAGACAAGCAAAACTTGTGATATAGGTGACACTGTGTGTGTTAAGGTGCAGCAGGGTGAAAGATGCAGGCTTGCTAGCCCCTGCTGAGGCCACGAAGCCTGCCAGCTGTCAAGGAGATAGGTGCAGGGGGATTCTGTGGCCCTGCACCCCTAACTGCTGACAGGCAAAACTCATGACATGGGTGCTTGTGCATCTGCTGCCTCTCATCAGGCAGCAGGACTGAAGATCCCCCATCACTTGCCACGACAGACCTGGGGGTAATAATTGACCCCAGTATGAACATGAGCCGGCAGTGCGATGCTATAGCCAGCAAGGCCAAAAATACCCTGGCCCCAGACCCTCCCCCTGCACCTATCTCCTTGACAGCTGGTAGGCTTCATGGCCACAGCAGGCCTGCAGTGGTTTCCTCCCACTCTCTGCCCCAAGACAGATACAGTCCGTTGTACAAGCACCCATGTCATGAGTTTTGCCTGTCAGCAGCTAGAGGTGCAGGGCCTCAGAAGCCCTGCACCGATCTCGACAGCTGGCAGGCTTCGTGGCCTCAGCAGGGGCTAGCAGGCCTGCAGCTTTCACCCTGCTGTGTCTTAACACACACACTGTCACCCACATCACGAGTTTTGCTTGTCTGCAGCTTCAGGTACAGTTTCCCCCAAACCCCTGCACCTGTCTCCTTGAAACTTGGCAGGCTTTGTGGCCTCAGCAGGGGCTAGCAAGCCTGCAGTTTTGACCTCGCTGTAGCTTAACATATACAAATGACAAAAGTTTTGCTTTCAAGATTTTGAGGTGCAGTTTCTCTGAGCCCCTACACGTATCTCCTTGAAACTTGGCAGGCTTCGTGCCCTCTGAAGGGGCTACCATTCCTGCAAGTTTCAGCCAAATCAGGCCAGTAATGACAAAGGTATAGGCTGTTTTGACCTTCCCCATTATATCCTATGGGCAAAACGTCAAAACAGCGAAACTGTTTAGGCAGAACGGAACGGATCCGCTGTTTCAACTCGAAAGGGAATTTGAAACGGAACACTGCCATTTCACACAGCCCTATTAGACAGCTTTCTCCATGCTTCCTGGATGCATCATTGGGAACACAATAGAGACAGGATCATTACTTACAGTAGAAATGCTTGGCTTAACAAAAGTCAGGAGAAGATGTTAAAGATGTAGAAGAATTGTGCTCAGTAAAAAAGAAACGCATAGTCCATTCATCATTTGGAGTTATGAAAGGCTCAAGTGTGCCTGGCGGGTGAAGAAGCCTCAGCTATTTTAGCTGTTAAGCTCTATCATGTCTGTACTTAGCATGAGCTAACTGATTTTTCACACTTGGACAAATTAGGGTGGATTTTCATAGGGACAGCAAAAATCATGTCTTCACACCAGAACATACTTAACACCGAAGAACAGGGTATTTTCCCCAATCTCATTCTTGAAACAGCTGGATTATTTTGACTGAAATTTTCCAAGGTAATTCTGCCTGAGACCAATTCCAGTCATGGAAAATTTCTGTCTGAATATTTAATATGTGTGAAAAATATAAGCAATTCAAAGCAAGGTCTTATAATTGAAAGTATTATGCATCCTTAATAGCAGGGAATGCTACCAGCCCCTTCTGAAATTTTAGTGCTTTCACATATATGTCACTCATAAAATTAGGCCATCTAGACACTTAGCGTCATAGTTTACACTATTGCATATTACTCTGAGAGATACAGAGCATTGTAAATTGTGACTTAAATTCCCCAAGCCAAGGATGTCAAGCCCATTTGGCTTCTCTGACCTAAATCCATACCACAAGGCTTCTTGTGGGTTAGATCTGTGCTACAGGGCAGGCAGTGTCAAGGAACTGCGAGGCTAATGCAGCCATTGCTTACCCCGCTGCTGCTGATACGCACCTCTGTTCCGTGTCAGGCTCCCCCTTCAAATTCCCAGTCCTTCCAGGAGCCTGACAGGCTGGATGATATGGCTCTACAGGCCAGATCTAGACCCCATGGGCCATATATTTGACACACTGTCCCTAAGCTTATGATGGGTGACTAGATTTGTTTTGCTTAATGCTTACCCATGGCTGACGGACACAGGCAGTACCACTATTCAGTTGGAGCTTTTTAGCCTAAAAGTATGTTTGAGAGAGAGGGACAGAGAGCCAAGAAACAGGATCTCCACAAAGTAGCTTTCTGGGACTAGCAGTTTTCTAAAAGGAAATGCCTCTACTGAGCCACGTAGGGAATCCTACTGCCATGAGGGACAAGGATGTCCAAGGAGTTATGCAAAGTCCTTGGGACTTGAGGAAGTTGTCCTGTCTTCTGAGACTATGAATCTCATACGTTTTGGGGGTGGTATATGTGCAGTCCATTTAGCAGGAGGACCCAAGAGGCTCAAAGGTGCCTGTTGGGAGGTAATTGTCATACATTTTACCAGTTAAATTCTAACAAGTGTGTAGTGGGCAGGAGCTCCAGGGGCAGTGACACACACTCTTCTCTCATGGGTGGGACACTTGTGAAGGAACTTGAAGTGGGAATGAGCTGGGGGATGCTTAGTTCCTCTGCAGGAAAACCCAGCAACATGTGGTTATTAAATCTTCCTCATCACAGTACCTTATGTGAATAACAGTAGTCATGCTGTGGAATCCCTTTTTTGTTTTTTTTATCCTCTTACTACAGGTCCAGATATAGCTCTCATGCACACACATCTCTGATGGCATTAATGGGAATTGTGCACATGTAATGACAATAATTGTTCCTCTGCAATTAACAATTTATAAGTAGCTTTGCTCTTTCTGTTGTATGTCCTTGTATGCCATTATACTTAAATGTACATAAGAAAAATATTTTTAAATGGTGATAATTATATACTTAAAAAGGACATCAAATGATAGAAATGGTGTGTTTCTACTTAATTCCTTTGCATAGGAACTAAAAAGGGCTTTAAAGTTTTCACTAGTTTTTTAAAAATAATTCTGTTTCCTCAAGCAATTTCATGATGAATCCCAGTATTTGGTATACTTTAACATTTCATTAGGCTTAACATTTTTTTTAAATTTTAGACAGATTCTCAAAATGCTCAGAATCTACAAAGGAAATGAGAACCTCTCAACAACAGGACTGAAAGTCTTAAATTTACTTCTTACTTCAGGTATTAGGCATTTTACTTTAATAAATGGTATAATGGATTTCTGTGCAGAATATATAAAATGGGTTACTAAAAACAAGCCTGATTCCTTTCTTCCTTGGACCTTGTGTAGTTAATTTACACCTGTGCAATAGAGATGTGAAATGCTACAGAAATGCAAAAGGACTTATTTTTCATTCCATCCAGGAAGAGCACATACCAATTGCTGAAGCTTCCTTAGCCTGATGAAGGGTTTTTGAACCCGAAAGCTTGCTTAATAACTATTCTCCAACCATTTGGGTTGGTCTAATAAAAGATATCAAATTCACCCAAGGAACCTTGTCTGCCAAAGGACTTATTCTGCATTTGCCTGCACAAGAATCATAATACCCTGGGCTGCAAGGCATTGGAGAATACAGCCACCCCACCCCTTTTTTTTTTAAATCGGTCAACATTAGTAGAGACAAATGTTTGCTGCTAAGTAATTAAGCAAGAGCTATTTTTTTCTTACTGACTAAAAGTGCAAGCTACTGTAAAAAGAGAACTTGATTAACTCTTAAATGATAAATTTTATACTGGTATTTCTGAAAATACCAAATTGTCTCTGACCTGGCAATTCTTATTCTACTTTACAAGGACCTGATACTGCCAGACACTAAGAACTTTTTATGAGATATTGAGCTTCTTGACCTTCTGAAATTAATGGGAGTCTGTGAAGTTCATATTCTTTCTCTCTTACTCGCAATGAGTGATATCTTACTGTAAAAACAGCAGTGGGTTTAACCGAAAGCTGAGTGAAACCAGTGGGAGTCTTTCCATTGACTTTAATAGGTTTTGGATCAGGGCTTATCTTCAGACCAAGGCACTACGTATAATAAGATCGCTGAATATGACTATTAAATGAATGAATCCAACAAGCCATTTCCCCTGTCTCATGTCACAAGGCTCCTGAGCTATTAAGCTAGTTATTCCATTGCAGGTTATTCCTTACAGATGATCTTCTTCCCAGGGATATAGTAGATATTATTGATTTAATCAAGTTTTATCCTCCTTACAGTTTTTTGATTGTCTGTCTTCAGTAAATATAGATTTCATAGACATTAGGGCTGGAAGGGACCTCACAAGATCATTGGCTGACTTCCTGCCAGAGGGGAGGAGGGCAGGAAGTCAGCTGGGGTCAGATCACCCCAGTAGGATAAGCATCCAGCAGCAAGATAAGCATCTCCTGCATCTTCCTGGATTCTTTTTTGTAATGTGTCCAACACCAACTGGATTTACTGATAAATGGGAATAAATATATTTGAAAGGGTATGCTCTATCTTTGCGTGTTTTGCCTAAGGATTGGCTTGGTGACAAGAAGTGACTGGGAAATCCAAATGCAGTCACTCTACCAGTTTACAAATTGACATCAAAGTGAAATACATAGTTACTTTTAAAGACGGTATCAAAGGATATGTAATTTTGACAGTCAAGTACAGGGTTTCAGATAGAAGAGATCAATGCTGATATTTGTAGTGATCAATCCTTTCTTGCCTTCTTTTCTGTTGTTTTAGATGCAATTACATTTTTGCTCTTGGAGGAAGAGACTGATGTATTTTTGTTGGTATTGGATGCTATGAACATCTTTCCTAAAAATGAAGAAATCCAGCAATATGGTTGTAAAGCTTTGCACAGGCTTTTTGAGAGAGGTATTTCTCTTTTGTACTTCAATAGGGTGGAATGATTTATAAACTGGGAATTGACTAAAGAAAAATGACTAGCAGCATATAATACATGCTGTGAGTTCTTCTGGGTTTTGTTTCATTTCTGTGTGAGTAAAGAAAGGGTCATACTTCATCTGACGAGGTGAGTTAATACAAAACATAAGGAAAGTGCATAGCCTTAGGACAATTTTCTTTGCTATTGCACTATACATGTGATTGAGTATTGTTCGAAACAATAGCTGTAGGCTGACGAACAAAACCAATGGCACTCAGAGAAGCGCTGGACTTCCAGACAAATTTCTGGATTATTGGGAAGCTATTTTTAATGCAGTAATGTAGTTTACTGTATTTTTAAAAAGTGCCATATTTTTGAGAATTCAAAAATTTTGAATTTTGAGAATTTTGGAATTTTGAAAGCTAGATTTATGAGGTTATATCACGCTGTTGATTTTGAAGCAGTTTTTATCACTGATTTGAATAAAATTTAGCTTCCAATTTAATGTTATGAAATATACCATAACTTTAAAATGTAAATAAAGTATTAGCCTTTCATTCTGTTATAGGTTATGTTAAAAATGCTAAGGGAAACTAGCCAAATGTGCTAATCCATATATCAGTGGTTCTCAACCTTTTTAAACTCAAGGCACTCCTCAGAAAATGCCTGCTCTTATATTTCAATAGTCAAAAAATGAATGACAGCTAACAGCAATTCTTTTGTTGCAAAGAACTCAAAGCCCACAACAAGGCTGAATATTTTTGATGCTATGAATTCTTATTTGAAAATCCAAGTTTCTTATGACTCGTGCAGAGATGTTTGCCTACCTAACAGTGCTAATACTGTGTAGCACACTTAAGGATTACTCAATACCTTAGGGTGCCATATAAGAGTTCTTATTTGTGTAAGCAACAGTGTAACTAGTTGGTAGACAACAAGTTTTGTGACTCCATTTTTTGTTAACTGTATAATAAAGTTCTTCTTGCCAACAGGAAGCTAAAGGTTTTTGAATAAAGAAAAAGTGACCTTGTGAAAAACGTGTTAGATAAATATCACAAAACTGTATAAAAACTATTGTATAACCTAATATCAAATTGGGCAAATATATAAACTCTCTCTTTTTTACTTTAACTCAGTTCCAGAAGAGCAGCTGACTGAATTTGTGGAAAGCAAAGATCATATGATCATACTGAATGTATTAAAACAGTTTCAAGAAAAAGAAGATTTAATACTTCTAGCACTTTATTCTTTACATTCCTTAGCTGGGCCATGTAAGTGCATTATAACAACAATTGGGGTTGTTGGTCAGTTGCAGTCATTCATTTCAAGCCATTCAGTCTTTCTGAAAAATACTTATTATAATCTTGTACTTTACCAGGACAGTGCAAAGGAAAGTCATAGCACTAGTGTAATGATTTGTAGATGGCTCTTGGCATCTGGGGAGGCTAAGCAAAGGCTGAATAAAAGGCAGATGCCTAGAATGAGAGTGGAGTTGCAAAGAGAAATTGTTATGTATTTTCTAATAAAATGCTTTTTAAAAATCAGTAAATATTGATTTGTCAGAACCAAAACTTTCCATGGAAACCTGCATAGCGGTTTTAACAAGGATGGAATTTCTTATTAAAACCAGAAAGAAGGGCCTCCATCTCCCTGTAGTGCACTCACTTGGGATGTAGGAGACAGATTCAAGTCCCAGCTCTGGCACCTTTTACTGCCAGGATTCAAAACATAGTTAAGGGACTTTCCAATTGAATACCCCAACTAGTAGGTTACTGACTCGTTTATGGTGGGTCTCTGTCAGAATCTCTTGTTAGAGCTGTTCCATTTCGTATAAATAATGAATTATGTATTGGATTAGGGACTTGAACTACAATATTTACTGGACTAAAGACTCAGTCTCTTAAGCTTACCTGATGGAACTGTTCCATTCTTTTTTACATATTGATTGGCCCAGAAGGAGACTGACTATAATCCAGTGGTTGTGCAACTCACTTAGGATGTACACAATGAACGTTCAAAGTGTTGTTCCAATAAATATTTAATTATTGTTACAAACGGGAATAGTGCCAACAATAGGGGCTGACCTGCCCCAGGGCATTCATGAGATGCAAGCCCCCGTTCTGAATCGGGCACAACAGGGATTTGTATCTCAAGCACCCGGCACACACTACATTAATTGTGCCATAAATAGCAACGTGCCACACACAGCCAGTTTATTGTGTCATAAAATGGCAAGCCAGCCACAAAGATGAAACATCTTTATGGATGGTTTGAATGGAGCTTTAAATTGAACATGTGGCATGCCGCATCATTCTGATGCTGACATGCAACTGATTGTCAGCATCAGGACCTGGGCATCCTCAGGTCTGGAACCCTTCCCAGGCTGCCCCAGTCCCAATGCTAACAACTGCTGATTGCCAGCATCAGACCAGGATAGCCTTGGTACCATGCCAACAATGATCTATGGGGCACATGGGTTGTAAGTTTTCCAGTGAGCAGAGCTTCCCTTACCAGAAACCTTGTAACCTTTGTGCTTTGCAATTTAAAACTACCCTTTGGGCATGTCTACATGAGACGTTTACTGCAGCTGACTAATTAGCTCCACAGTAAACATTGCGTGTCTACGTGTGTGCCCCTATTAGGCTGGAGTAAGTTAATTAACTCCACAGCAGAATAGTACTTGTACTTTTTTTACTCACAGCAGCACACGTAGATGCTGCCCCTGCTGCCTGGGGCACTAGTATTCTTCAGTGCAGGAACTGCCTGCTGGCTAAACCCGTGCTGATGTACCCTTGTATCCCAGCTCTGCAGCAAATTGGGCATCTTTACACATGCTCTGTGGGGAGGGGGAAAGAGGGGCCACGCTTTATTTAGAACAGCTCTCAGGAGCCATTCTAATTAAAGCACCCACAGTGTCTCGTGTATTCAGAGTACCATGCTTCAAAATGGCGATGGGAGTGCTTTAACTAAAACTTTGTTACAGCACCCCTGCTGCCATTTTGAAGTACACGGACAGTGAATACATGTGATGCCAAGGCTGCTGGAGCATGCTAATTAGCTTGAACATATAAGAGCAGGTTATTGGGCATGTGTTGAGGTGCTGACCCCTGGGGTCTCCTGCCAGCCGGAGTGCTCCAACCCAGTTTAACATGCTGTGGTCCTGGGTGCACGTTCAAAAGGCACACCCAGGAGCAATAAACAATAAGCTCTGGGGTTTATTGCTTCTCATTAATTATACATGTACATGTGCTTTTTATGTTCCAAGTGCCTGTTGTTAGCCAGTCCCTAGGGATCGGGCTGGAGGCAGCCTTCTTACCTGAAGTTGATGCTCGATCCCAAATATGCATCCTGCCATGCGTGTCTGACTTGTCAGGATGTGCAATGTTTGGGATGAGGCATAACATCTCTCAGATCCAGATTGCATGATTATTTTAAAATCTGCCAGGGGCTTCAGTCTCTTTTATCCCAGACGAGTCCCTTACCGTACAATGGGTGAGGATTTTGCTTTCTTCCATTTTTCATGAAAATCAGAGGAAGGTCTTTGAAGATTGAAAACATTATGAAATCTTGAGAAATTTTAGGAAAAAAAACTGTTTCCCAGCTATCTCTACTTGCAACCTGCTCACTTATTTACCCACTCCTGGAAAATTTCTGGTATCTTGCAGGTGTATAACTACACAGTTGTTTGTCATCGTAAGAAATAAAAGAAGTCAGTTTTTGAAAATAAAGGGTTTCTCAATCATGGAGACTGACATTCACAAATTCACTTTGGTCATAATGGTAATGAAATAAAATAAGTGACCTAATTTGGTTCAGAAATTAATTGCTTTAGAAATCTTACCATCTTAGTTGAAACATTTTTCCACCTGCTATATTCAGTTATAGCTATTCGTTATTGTGACAAAGGCACCTTCCAGGCCTGATACTGTTATGTCCCCACCCTCGTCTCTGGGCAAACTGCCCACCTTGCTCGTCTGCCATGCCTTGCTTGTAAATGATTATAATGTCAAATAAGTGGGAGGCTGCCCTTCATGCAGCCTAAGTGACCATGGGCGATCCGTACACGCTCCTACCACCCCTACACGTATTCCATGTCTTGCTGATGTCATGCTATAAACATAAACTGCTCCAGCTTGCAGATGACTCAAATAGCCCCTTGTAAGGCCTCTCACATACCACCCTACTTGGGCCTCTCTCTTACTGCCCTCTCTCACAAGGGCCTCTCGCACACTGCCTGTCCAGGCCACACTCCCACCACCCTACTCCAAAAAGATCCTCAGGCTTGTCCACTCGTACTTCAGACAGACCTGGCCTAGCCTTTTGGGGCTCTCCCGTGACCCTCATCTAGACAGTGACTGCCAGTTCATCAGCTTACTCTCTTCAGCCAACCCTGGCCCAGCCTTGTGGGTCCCCCTTGGCCCTCATCTGGGCGGTGACTGCTGATTCACCCCACTCCAGGCTCTCTCAGCCCTAGTCCCTCACTGGGCCATTTCTTACTCCCACCCCCTTGAGCAAACACACCACCCCTCTTACTGGGGCCCAGAGTCAAACACCACCTTGGGACTCAGCCACTCCTCTTTCAACTTAACTGCCCCTCACTACTCTGCCTTGCCACTCAGGGCCCAGGGTCTTGCACCCCTACAGGCTCAGGTGCTTCACAAAGCATGCCTGGCCCCCTTTAGCTCTCCAGGTAACCCACCCAAAGATGGGGGCAGGGGCTTAGGCATCCCAACCCACCTTATACCAGGGAGGTTCTCGTTCCTGGTATTCACATGGCCCTGACCCACCACAGGCAGGAGGACCACCAGGCCTCCCTATCCCAGCAGGGTGCAGTTTTAGGTCATGCCCAGGACCAATGAGGCCTCTTCCATCCCCATAGCCTCACCCTTACCTCCAAAATATTCCTGGAGCAGGAGCTCCACCAGGCAATGTTACTCACAGATCTCAAAAATACTCTGCTCTTATAACAGAGCTCTCCCAGAATGGCAGCTCTCGTTAGCCACCTGGCAGCTCCCTGCTCCAGCCCTTAAAGTGACAGACACTCTAAAGGGTGTTCTGTCACAGTTATTTAGAGATATGGTAATTTAAGAGCTTGTTTTCAAAAGGTTAATGAATTAACCTGGCTTGCAAGTAGATTGTAAAGGTTAGTAATATCCTCATTTTACATATCGGAAACACAAGGTGTGGAGAGATCAATTGACCAAGGTAACCCAGCAGTTTGCAGTGAAGCTCAAAATAGACCTGAATGGTAAAATTCTGGCTCCACTGCAGTCCACGATGATTCTCCTGTTGAGTTCAACGGGACCAGGATTTCATCTGCGATCTTTGAATTCATAGGCGGATCTTTCATTACACACCCACATTAAACATATTGCAAAGATTAAGATTCTTTGATTCTAACTGCACATGGCAGAGCAAGAAGCTGCAAGTTTTATTTCATAACTACCATTATGCATTTGTGATTGAATAGGCAAAGTGATTTTTTTCACCATCATTAGAGCATGATTTAGTATGTCTCGCTTATTTTTAATCTGAATGAGCTATTGTTGTTTTTCTACCATAGTCCCTGCAGTACATGTAAGAATAAAATTATTTGTAATTAAATTTGTATTTGGGGATATCATTTCAAAAGTTAGAAGCATCGCTTAGCTGAAAACCTGTAAACACTTCTCATATATTAAATAAGCTCACTATATACTCAATTGTCATAGGCCAAAACTAGCACCAGCCAAAAGAGTAAGCTTTTATAACTTGCCTCGGAAAGAGGAGAGGTAAGAGGGACAGCAAGGGTTTATGAAACCACATGTCTGGTTTTTTTTTTCCGATTCTGTTACTGAATTGTTTTATGGTCTTGGTTAAATCATTTAAATACCATATCAAAAATTTACAAAATACCACCACAAAAACTGTAAAATGTGAATGGATTCATTTTATCTACTCATGCTAGTGCAATTAAATGTAATTAGTATCTGTAAAGCACTCTTTATGAAAGGTACTTTTTAGTAATAAGTGAAGGTATTTTATCTGTTAAATAGCTAAACATGTAATGGCAGCAAATCAGTAACAATTTACATGGAGTCTAAGTTGACCTGATACAGCATGTCTAAATAGAATTAATGATAAAAGTTGAAGATGATGATGAAAAGAAATATTCAAATTTTTTCACAATGCCAAAAGCAGAAACTATATTTTTAAACACCTATGCATATTCAAATTATATATGTGATTGTTTATTTAATCATAAAATTGATGTTATTTTTATTTTAGCTAGCAATGTTGAAGTGCTCATGTCTGGAAATGTTCGATGTTATAATATCATTGTTGAAATAATGACAAGGTTCTCCAACAGTGAACCAATTCAGGAAGTGAGCTGCTGTTTGTTCCACAAACTTACATTAGGTAAGTTCATGAAATAATATTTTAGATATTGCTGATATTGTCCTTCTGTTTCTGTATATTAAGTGTATAATCAAGATAAAGCCTGCTTTTTTCTTAGCTCTTATTTTTACATTAAAATTAGAGAAGTGGTAAAAGCCTGCAAATTCAGTAACTTCCTCTGAAATGAGATCGCCATGTTGGCAGATCTGAACAAAATAAAAATAATTTTATAACGCCTACAATACACGAAGTATCATGCTCTTTTAGATTGCCTTTCACCAGGAAGGGAATTTGACAGTTTCTTACTGCCAGAGGGATATACACAAACAATCCACAATTGAAATGCAGAGAAAACAGCCAGGTAACAGAACACAGCCACACTACATAACAGGGCAGGGAGTGAAAAAATACTGTATGCAACTGCATTCACAAGAATTAAGAGGAATAATGGTTCTGATTCTCCAGAGGGTTTCATTTTAAGTGCATGCTTAAATACTTTGCTGAATTGGGCCCCGGCAGGCTCAGTCTTGGTGATAAGCACCCTTCTGTCCCAGAGAATGATGGAGTAAGTGAATGTACTCGGCACTTTGGTTGATCAAGGCCATAATGAATTGGAGTAGACAAGTGTAGATTTTTGAGTATCAGAAACTCGCCATCACATCTTTTATGACCACAGATGGTAAATTCCTCAGTTTTACAGCGCATCTGAAGGGCTTCAGAAAATGATTACATCCCATAAATTTCATAATCTCATAATTTTTCCTGCCACTAGGGTGATTCTAATATTTACCAATTGAGACCCATTTAAAAAACCTAAACATTGTAACTACAATAGAAAGATGAGAGACTGCTGACAGATTATTTGTTTTCACAATAGGAATGAGGTAGTTTACTTTGGGTATGGACAGATGTTCAGTTTCAGCAGAAACCATGAGCATACAGAAGTTAGTAATTTTTCTCCCAGAGTAAAAGGGTGCAGACAGAAGTGACAATTTTTGCCTGATCAGGCCCCTGAAAGCACTCTGCTAACACAAGTTCATGGCTGCAGAGCGCTGTAAAAGGGCCCAATCCTGTGACAGTCTGAACCCTCATCACATGAAGTTTCAGATGAAGGCACTCCAAAGTGGAGCACCTTCATTAACTTATGGCTGCTCCCATTCCTGTTTTCAGAATGAGAGAAGGGAGCAGAGGGAGCTTGTTCTGGGGGTTGCCCAGCCTGCACTGGAGGGTAGGAAGGGTATATTGGAGCATCCCCACAAGGTGGGGGTGGGGGTGTGCTTCAGTCTACTCACCCTCCCACTCCAGCACAGCCTGGGGAAAACCCGGAATGGACCTCCCTCCCTCTCCCAGACAGTACAGGAGGCTGGCAGACTGGGAGAAGAGCTAGGGGAAGAGGCTGCAGAGACACAGCCTCTCTCCGTGGATCGGTCCCAATTTGGAACTTGATCCCTCACCCTCCCGACCCAACAGCTAACGTCTGTTGGGTTGGGAGGATCGGTCTAACACATGGTGCTTTCGGTAAAGTGCCATGAGTTGGACCAGGAGCTGCACTTCTGTCTGCACCCAAGGTGGCTACACTGGTAAAAAAATAACTTGGGAGCAGCCTGAGTGAAGTTGCTTTCTGGAGAATATATCCTAGGAGACAGAACTTCCATACAGGCATCAGGATGCAGAGCCAATCTCTGCAATCTCAATGTGCTTTGCTTCCTTTTTCCTCCACAGGTGGGGAGAGAGAGCATGTGTTAGTCTTAGCCAAGCAGGGAATATTGTGCCCCCTGAGTGCTTCAGTCTGGAAAAGCCTAGCACTGAAGCAGTTAGGGAGTATGTGCTGCTCCTAGCTTGTTCCCTGCCTGAATCACATTGCAGTACTTGGGTGCAGGGAAGTATACAAGCATACAACTTGCCCAGCCTTAGCTGACCTCCAACACAATACAGAGGAAGGGAAAGGGCTCTTCTGCATGAAAGACTTTTCTGTGCATGGCACAGACCCCAGCCCCACATTCACTTAAAAAAAACAACACCCCCACCCCTCCCGCAAACTCTCTGGGCTGCGTGCTTTAGGGATACATGGCAGGCCAGCATCTGCACTACAGGCTTTTTGCTTCTCTGTTTGAACTTCTGTACAGGTCAGTTTTTCTCTCAGTAAAAAAAACGGGGAGAGTTGTCCTGGATTATTTGTGTGTGTGTATGCAGCCTTTATTTTATGACAACATTTCTTATTCTGCACTTATGACAAGAAATACTACATACATGGTGGTAAATGTTCATTTTTAGCAATGCTTATTATAATAACCATTCTTTTTTCTAAAAGTATTTTATTTAATTAGGAGTCTGTGCTAAACTCTGCTATATTTTGTGTGGAGAGATGCATATTTCACAATAGAAGTTAAACAGCTTCCTAGCTGGGGTCAGTCAAGTGCCAGTTTAGGAGTCTACTATGAGTTCCCTACTTGGATTGCTCACTTCTAAGTAGGAAGTTATTTGATAAAAGGCATCATCAGCATTGGCATAAAAAAACAGAACTCGAGTCTTCCTCCCTCCTAGGGCAATGCCACCCTTACTGAGCTCTAGTCAGGTTGCTTCTTGTTTGTTTTTCTAATGCCTAGTGACTGTTGCATTTGTTTCCACACAATAGCCATGCTTCAACAGGATAGATACAGGGTTCCATTAGTCTTGCCTAACCAAAATCCTGGTAAGTAATACAGTTTCCAGGGAAGTGAAAGATGCAGATTTAAAACAGGATGAGGAAGGCCTGAACACAGGTCTCCTACTTCTTACGCAGCTGCCCTAAACACAAGGAACTGAATCTTATTGTATACATTCAAATAGCAGTTACCCAATGGTGTAAGTGCCAGGTATGCATCTCCATATGTTCCTGCCCTAGGCCATGTCCTCCATATTGCTATGAACGTTCCTTCCATGAAATTGTAGCCAGGCAAAAAGCTGTGACTAGCAAATGAGTAGGGTCCTCCAAGATTCGATCAGTGTGCTGCTCTCTGGCTGGATAAGTACCATGTGGGCCTGTAAAGTGAAAAGAATTCCAACCTAGGTTTTTGGGGAAAGGTAGTTGGACCCTCACTCTCTGTTGTTCAGGTAACCATTTCACAGAATAGAATAGGGTTGATACGGAACCCTACATTCAGCTACCTCTGTATAGAGTTTCCTATTGGCTGCTTGTTGAAATTTCCCTGCATACTCTGGGTTGCTGATTAAAAGAATGGAGGAGCTATGCACCTCTGCAAGTCAGAGTAGGATGGATCTCTTGATGTACATGGGCACACCAGAGGATGGGGAAAAGATTCAGGACTACCTTGACAGCCTGCATTCATGGGCGGAACAAAGAGAAGTGCAAGGTCCTTCACCTGGGTAGGAAGAACCCTCACCATAAGTACACAATGGGTGGTAGTCCACTGACTGGCACAGCACCTGAACGAGACCTGGGGGTCACGATCAACTGGAAGATGAATATGAGCCAATAGTGCAGTGACATTGCGAGAAGGGCAAATAGAACTCTGGTATGCATCAGCCCATGTGCAGCCAACAGATCCAGAGAGATGCTGAGACCTCAGCTGGAGTACTGTGTCCAGTTCTGGGCTCCATAGTTCAAGGATGTGGATAAGCTCAAGAGGGTACAAAGAAGGGCCACTCGTATGGTTAAGGGCATGGAGGGCAGGTCCTATAAGGAGAGACTCCAGGAACTGGGTCTGTTCAGTCCAAGTGAGAGAAGGCTGAGAGGTGACTTGATAGCCGCCTACAAGGACATCATGGGTAAGCATCAAGAACTAGGGAAGCAACTCTTCAGGAAGGACCTCAATGGAGGATGAGGACCAACAGGCATAAACTAATAGAGGGTAAATTCAAGCTAGACATAAGAAAAATATCTCTCTCTGAAAGGGTCACCAGAATCTGGAACACACTCCCAGCAGAGGTGGTACAGTCACCCTCCTTAGAGATGTTCAAGATGGGACTGGACAGGCACCTTGTTGAGTTCATCTGAGCCCAATAACTTCCTTCCCACAGCAGGGGACTGGACTTGGTGATCTTACAAGTCCCTTCCAGTTCTATGATTCTATGTACAAGTTGCATCTCCCTTTGTGGAGTCATAATGTTTGGCCATATCTATGAGGTGGAATAGGATCTGGGCCATAATTTTTCTAGATAGCAGATTCAGCTAACTTGTGTATTTGTTTTTAGGAAACTTTTTCAATATTTTGGTTTTAAATGAAGTACATGAAGTCATTGTGAAAGCTGTTATAAGATACTCTGCAAATGCAAAACTACAAGCTGCAGCTCTTGGTTGTTTAGCTCTTCTCAGTAAGTAAATTCCTTCCTATTTATATCAAGTCGCTGAATAGACCCATGACTATTTTTAATGGCAGTCTGTGCTAGGAATTAGGAAATTACAGGAAATTATACTATCTCTGTTTCTTTTACATGCAGTTTTTAAAGTGGAATAGAGTTTAACAATTGTGAACAGGTTTCACTCTGTCTGTTATTGTTGCATGGCAGCACCCATACCCCTTAACCAGCATTGCTTATGCTACACTTAGTTGGTATGCAACGTCGATTAGCCCAGCAAAGCAACATATCCACTCATAGGTTGCATACAGTATAATCCCTTCTTAGTTTAAAAAGTCCTTGTTGCATTAAAATTGGAAATGCAGACACTTAAGCTAAGTTTGATGTTGAGTGTATCCATTACTCATTCTTTCAGGTTGAGGTCAGTGAGTGCCAAAGATAGCAGCTAACATACATAGTGATATTCCTTCACAATTATAAAACAACTGTGCACAAGTGCCAAAAATGACTTATTGTAAAATAACTTCTATTAAATGGAATTTTATTTTAGTTTTGCCAAGTACTTCTGTCCTACCAATTTCAGTTTGTCCATCTTTTCCTAGTGACAAGGAAGTGCTGGGAGATCAAAGTGAATTTTTAGTAAATGATGACATACAAATATAATACAGGCATATTTTACCACCTGTGTTCTTCAGCATGCAAACAAGACAATAAATGCATGAACATACATTTTTCTATTAGAATTATTGACTAATATATTATTGTGTACTTAACTGAACACATTGTAATGAGCTTCTGAAATCTGTTCATAATGTCAGCTTATTCAGGTACATAACAGAGCTCGTGTAAAAGGCTTCTTGCATCCCCTTCCCAAAAGAAAGGGATTTGCCACTTTTATCTGGTACAATCGGCTTCAACTGATTTAGGCATATGAGCAGCTGTATACTTCATTAGGATTGAATGTTAATCTTGTATTTTCACAATAAGAACTAAGTGTAAATGTCTTGCATTTCAAGCTGAAACAATATTTTTAAATCAAGACTTGGAGGAAAGAAAGGAGGAGGAGGAGGAAGAAAAAATGTGTTGGTTGGAAGCATGCTACAAAGCATTAAAATTACACCGAAGAAACATAGATGTACAGGTGAGAATTTCTGGTTGATATGGGTGCAAAAAATCAGAATTCATTAATTTAGCATTAGTTAAGGTTTTCAGCAAAATAGTTTTCCCTCAAATATACCAAACATAGTCTAGAGAAACAAAAATGTTGGGTAGGATGAATTAATGATAATGGTTTCACATGAAAAGTTTAATGGTTATGACTCCATTCTTTTTTACATAAAGGCTTACTGTGCCATAGAGGATGTTGTGATATTGAGAATCAAGAGAACTCAGACTGGAATCATATGATTAAAAAAATTGAAACCCAACAAGCAGTAAAATCAGATGTTTATTGGGATACAATCTCTTTTGTTGTCCTCAAATTACACTTTTGTAAGAGTGATATCTGTTTATAGTACAGAATCATTTTCTGTATGTAATTGGAAACAGGAATTAATTTTTCCTCAAATCAGTGCTGAATGCCAAGGAATGTTTATAAGTAATATCATTTATTGATAACAAAGGAGAACTTGTATAAATGATGTATCTTATGGTTATTTCAAGTAGCTGACACACAAGGCGAAAATGACTTATCCTGGATGTACTGATTGGTCAGACTCAGTCAGCATTATGCTGTCTATTATTTTGTTCTTTGCATTCATATTTGACTATAATGTTTTTTCCTCTGTTGACATTATTTAGGAATCAGTGATTGTCACTTCTGTGTTATGTCATCTCTACAGTGGGATGTGATTAGAATACAAAGGGTAGGGAAGAGAGAGGAAAAGGAGCGGGGAATTCTGGGAGAGGCAGGATGAGTAAAAGAGAAAAACAAAGTAATTAACACATTGAGCGACATAGAGTATAAAAGCTAATCCAGGTAAACCAGGAATGGGCAGAATACAGCCTGTGGGCTGGATCTGACCTGCCAAGGGATTCTCTCTGGCCCACGACAGGTCCCTCAGCCCCACCCAGCCCAGTCACGAGGCAGCTCGGACCATGGCACGTGCAGCTGGTCCCATCGCCCCAGGCATGTGGTGGAGCAGGGACAGTGTGGCTGCTGGACTCAGTTTCCTGGCAGCCCTGGTGGTGGCAGGTCGCTCTGCCCAGCTGCCGCTGCCAGTGTCTCTGCCATTGCTCCCGCTGCTGATCCCAGCCCTGCTGCCTGGGCATCCTAGCCCATTCTCCCACACTCATGGCTCGGGACACCAGGAGGAGCAGGTAGATGGGGTCTTCGTGGAAACCAGCCTGGGACCCCCACAGGCAGGACACACTTAGCTGGATGGCTGAAATGGGGCCACAGGTGGGTAAGGAGCAGAGTCTGGAGTAGGACAGATGGGTAGAACCAGGGCCGGGATTGCGGGGCAGTGACAGCATGAGGCTGGGGCCCACAGCAAAGCCATGATCTGTTTCCCACATGTCCTTGCCTATGGAACCGGTGCCCATTACAGGGATGAGCAGGTAGATCACAACTCTGCATGGGCCCCAGCCCTGTGCTGTCACCGTCCCATGATCCTGGCCCTGGCCCCAGCCCTGCCTGCCTATCCCACTCTTGGACGCCACTCCCCACTTGGTCATAGCCATATCCCATCTGTTTAGCTGAGCGCACCCTGCTCATGGGGGTCCTGGGCTGGTCTCTCTGGTACCTTGGTGAGGATAGGATTTAGATCAGGGTGGGCAAAATCTGGCCCACAGGCTGGATCTGGCCTGCAGAGGGGCTTTGTCCAGCCTGTCGCTGGTCCCTTGGTCTCACCTGGCCCAGGCATCATCCCATGGGGGCACGTCCTGCTGCCCCCTGGGCGCGCAGTGGGGCACATCCACACATATCCCCACACCCCACATATACCAACAGCCCCCCACAAACGCCATACCCCCTCAATATACAAAAGTAAGACTTCATTTTGAGCTATTATGCAATTACTTCTATGTACATGATGCGAACGCACACAAACCAGGACAAAATAATATTTCAAAAATAAAATTAAAATACGTTGTTATAGTATATAATTTGTATTTTTTTTCTGGTTCCAAGATGGCAAACTTCCCAAAAGGAGTACTTCCGGGGCAAGGGCAAAGACCTCTGGTGACAAAGGGCAGGGGCCAGGGGGGCAGGACTTCCAGTACCAAGATAGTGACCGGGGAGAGGGGGGTGTCATGGGGCAGAGCTGCCCTTGTGGCCCTCAGCAGCTCGCCAAAGCTCGTTAAACAGCCCTCCCATCGAAATAATTGCTCGCCCCTGATTTAGGTAGTCTGTTGCTGGAGCAATGCTGTTAAAGGTTGCTGGGGTGTCTGTAACTTAAGACAGGTGTATCCCCATGGCTACTGGAAATAGTTGTCATTTTCTAGGAGGGATTGGAGGTCATTAATTATGTGTCTGAGGTGTTCAATCTGGGGAGCTGTAGGTGACAACCAATGGGATTCTGTTGTGCTTGGCTTGGGGTTGGAATTGTATCAGGTTGGAGTAGGGGTCTGAGTCTTGCTCTTCTAAGTTTTAGTGGCTACAATTTTAGGATTGTATTGTAATTCCAGACCCTTAAAGTGTGCATGCCAGTCAGTGTGATCAAAGCAGATTCAGCTGTAAAGTAGAGCTTGACTGCAGTGTAACTGATGTAGCTGATAGATTTATCAGTGTGTTTAGGATGAGACCTACTGGTGTGGAGGTAGCTATAGCAGTAGTTGGTTTCTAGTCAATGTGGTAGTGATAGCAAACACTGCTAACCACCTCTCTCTGAAGAAAGAAAGCCCGAGAAATTTTTTAGGAATTCTCTCAACTTGATATATGTTTTATTTCGTGTAATAAAACAACAAATAATTGGAATGTGACATACACACATGCTTTCATGTGTATGAATTTTTGTATGGGTATTTGTAATATATCCCACAATTAAAGAATAAAAAATTGTTTATGCAGCTCACTAACAATGAAATTAGGGCTTCTATTATTATAGCAATTAGAATATTTAGGACTAAATTAAAGCTTTTATTATATTTTTGTTGTTTTTTATCTATTTTGACATGAATACCTCCACTAGAAAGTGATGGGATGAAACTGTTTTAGAAATATTTTAAAAAACACATTTTCTCCATTTAGTATTATATTTGTTTTAAAACTGTTTTGTTCTGCTCTTGTTTTAAATTCAGGAGGCTGCATGTTGGGCTTTGAATAATCTGTTGATGTATCAGTGTAAACTTCATGAAAAGATTGGAGATGAAGATAAACAGTGAGTATTCCTTACTTGAACTACACATTTGGGAGTGCAAAAAGGTTTAAAGCTCAGTTTTAAGTTGTTTTGGCATCCCCAGATTAATTTTATCTTATTTTCCATTACAGTTTCTAGTTTGTGAAACAAGACATGGCCTTGTTGCTATTTCTGGTAGCAACAGCATCATGCTAAAATGAGGGATCAGGAAGAGCTTGAACTCCCTGGTATCTAGGGAAGAACAATGAGGATAGATTAAATGGAAGCTCTAATAGGGAGAGTACTACTAGAGTCAGAGAAAGAATCGAGATATCGTGAATATATAGTAGATAAATCTGAACCACCAGAGATGCATGTTAGAGAGGGATACAGTGAAGCACAGCGTACCTGCTCTGCTCGCAACACACCCAGGAACGATACAGCAACAGCTCTGTCTCACATGTGCTTATTAGAACATGTTCAGCATGTGCCCAGCCTGCTTTACTGCAGCACCCTTTAGTACAGTCTTTTGACAGAATAGATATGTTAAGACATATCCTATGTCCTTCTTAGAGTTTCTATGATACCCTAATTTTAAATAGGTTATACTGTATTTCCTAAATGCTCTCTGCTCACCTAGGCAAAAACCCCTTGTATTTCAATGGGTTTAAGGTTAGATTAATATGTATGCTGTGCAATGGGCTTTCTCTTCACCTCTCAGTATAGAAAAAACATTAGTAACTTGGTACTGAATTTTACAAATAAAAATTTACTCAGTGAAATCATTAGGAAACTATATTATAACTAGCAAATTGCCTGTCAAGAATGACAGGGGAAGGGGGGCTGACTGGGACCCAGTGTGGGTCTGACCCTGCCCCCCCTCTGCCCCCACTTAAGGTCCGAACCCATGCTACTGGTTAGGGTCCGACCCTGCTCCCCCTCCCCCCTGCTTCAGGCCTGACCCCGCCCTTCCTCCGCTTCGGGTCTGATCCT